ATTCTATGATTCTATGAAATGAAGGACCCGCTGCAGAATTGCCGCCGAAGACTCAGAGCGCGGAAGGACCCCCCACCGCCGAATTGTCGCCAAGGTTGGCAAAATGCTGCCCCCCCAAATCCTGGTGCCCTAGTCGCCTAAAGGGAAGCACCGGCCCTGTCCACAGGAAACACCGATGATAGAACGCTACACTTGTGTTCACTTGTGACGTAGGCCAATACTGATTCTAAGGTTCCAGAGGTACCAGGCTTTTATGTTAACACACCGCGTGATTTAACAACGCCTCCTGCCTCCAGCCTATGATTCACAAATGGTTTACTTAATAGCTATGTAGCTTGCTTGATTTTTCTCTTTTGTGGGTTGCAGGTTGAAGATAATGGCAATAATAATAAGTTACTGCTGTCCTGCAATATTATTACTCAGAAAAACCAGCCTTTAAGCTTCCCATGCTGATGTGATGCAATCAGGGTAACCAGACAACATGACGCATCAAGTGCAGGGGTGAGTCAGTCTGGGAAATTGTCTAAAGTATTTGTTTGCCTGTAGTTACAGCAATGTGCAAACAATAGGCCTGGAGGGGAAATCCTCAGTAAGAGAGATCAAAGGGACATGCTGAAGGGAATTGTCCTTCCCACACACAATTGGAACACTGAGACCCAAAAAGGGCTTGTGTCAAATATTCTCTGGAGAGGTTCACAGTATTAATGGGTTAGTGCTTTTCATTCTAGCCTGCGACCAATGGAGAAAAATGGGTTGCAAACCTGAATAGTGTTGCAAGCGGACTATCCGGGCTCAAGAGTGCAGAGCTTGTTCTAATTAAAAGAAACCTCTTGTTCTTTTTAAAAGAACTGCCCTTTAAATAAAATGGCCTGCTTATCAAAGACACACAGCAAAATAAAATCAGAGCAGCAACTAGCAGACGGCAAGGCAAGCTCTTTAAACACAATCGTTAGACAAGTTACAGGTATATTAAAATACAGAAGCGGTTTCACTCTGCATCACAGCAAGCATTAACAGTTTGCACTCTAAGACACCAATTCTGTGTGCTTCCTGAACTTGCCCTTTCCTTTCGGGGGTGGGGGCTTTACTTAACATACTCCAACCGGAAGTGTTATCACATGATTTAGCACCAGTTCAATGTAACCTCAGCTCCACAGTTCACGCAATAAGAGCTGCATAGAGGTAACCATTGGCTGAACACTAAAAGTTTTATCAGTCCTGCAAACCCCAGTAATTCTGCTACATATTCTTGAGTGCCATCTCCTGAAACCTTGTCTACTAACTATAAATAACTCTAGAATACTCTCGCAATGTTGTGAACTAAGCTTCTACAGTCAGGACTGAAAGAAATTGCTCATGTTCTCTGCACTGCTACAGCTATGCTTATCTGAGGGTTTAAAAGGGCCTTACAACCCCCCCCCCCCCAAAGATCGGGAAGTAGGATCTGTGCCCCAATTCATCTTTTTGAAACTTGAGGCCAGAGTTACGGACTAGATATTTTTTTTTTCTTCAGAGATTCTGAACACCCACAACTCCAAATGAAGTCAATGGGAGTGGCAAGCACATAGCAACTCTAAAACACAGGACCTGTAGCTGGCAAGTGACTAGTGACTTTAGGTGCTACCATGCTGAGGGGCCTAGTTCTGAGAGAGTGGAAGCTCAGCACTTGCAGAAAACTGGGCCATTTTAAGGCATCTCAGGCTGGACACCAGAAAGCTGAGGCATCCAAAATGAGAAAGCACTCTTGAAAATCTGGCTGCAGGGGACTTGCCCTAAGACCTGGATGGTTGCCTGGTAGTCCAGGAAATTCCCTTAGTAGGTCTGTCATTTTCTGGACTTTAGGGCTTGCTTGTGCTGACTAGCACAATTGCCTCCTCCTGCCGCATGTTGCTGTAAGAGTGAGGAGCCCTATATGAGGCACTAGAAGAATAGGTACATCTGAGGAGGGGTAGATGTTGGTGAACAAATGGATGAGGATGTGGGAGGACTGTGAGTGACCTAGGATGCAGATGGATGGATAGGTGAGAGATTGAGGGGTACATTAGAAGAGAAAAGAAGAAGATGGGCAGGAGTGAGATTGGAGGGGAAAGTGGGAGACAAAAATATAGGGAAATAGGGAGAGAGCGCAATGTCAGGATAGAACTCACATGGCTGAGGGAAGGAAAAAGGCAGAAAACAGGCAGAAAAAATATACCATGGTCTATGATCAAATAGAAAAGAAGCAGAAAGTGGAGTGAGAAGACAAGTGTAAGAAAAACAAAGGAAACAAGCACATTTCATTTTAAAGTATTATTATTAATGAGAAATTCAATTGCCAATATGTTGCTATTAAATACAATATATGT